AAATATTTATATATAATATATAAATATAAAATATTTATATATAATATATAAAATATTTATATATAATATATAAATATAAAATATTTATATATATTTTATATATATATAATATATATAAAATTCATATATGTATATATGAATGTATATACATATATATATATGTATATACATTCATAATCTCCTCCCATAGATTTATACATGTATATGTAAAATTATTCTGTGGTCCTAGCTTTTTCTAAGGCCAGCTAGTCCTGTAGTCCTAGTAATACAAAAGGAAATTCTAAAGTGCACTCCATTTTGCAGCCAACTGGTCTTACTTTTCCTATCTGCAAACAAAAGATCTAATTTATCAGAGAGCAAGATCTCCTCAAAGTAAATTATGACTCTAAGTAAAATGTTTTGTTAAATTTATTGTCTGCTCTCTCACTAGAGTGAGCACAGTAAGTACCTATACTTGCTGAATTTCTCCTGGGCATAGATCATACAGCTTTGCTATGGTTTAGCACACATAAAAATAATCAGAAAATGTTTCGAATGATTATCTGACTTTATAGAGGCATTTGCTTCTGAAATGATAAGATGACATACAGTAAAACAAAATTTAGAATTAAATGAATTGAGTTCTTCCTCTGGTCATGGCATTAATTAATTCTGTGACCTTGGATTCTCTTCCCAAACACTCTGAGTCTCAGTATCTGTTTATATTAATGGAGATAATAAAATATTCAGGGTTACTTTAAGAATCAAGAAATTTATAGTTACTGGCAAAAATACTTTATATAATACAAAGTAAAATGTCAGTGTTATAAAATACATGCAAATTATTTCAAAACTGTTGGTGAATGGGTACGAATTCTCAATCTCTCATTTAAGCAATGTACATATTCAACTAAAATTTATGAATTTGAATTGAAAATACCTCCTGATCTTCAGAAAAGGTCTGTAAACACAGGCACTCCCAGTGAAGTTACATCAGCAGCTAAATTCTATCCTTTCCCCCAGAGATCCTTTGACTTGAAAGAAATGTTATTTACTAGAACTTTACTAGAAAAAGGGGTGCATTGCAGTTAAGCTTGCAGAAAAGCTAAATTTCTTTGAAGAGCAGAAGTATGCCTGGCCTGCAAATTTTGAGAAAATTAGAAAAAAAAGTTAATGGATAAAATAGACATGATTTTATTGGATAAAATTGTCTTTTAAGCTTACTTAAACTATTTTTTGTGGCACAATACCATACACCAAGAGATAAATCAATGCATTTATTTTATCACGGCATTTGTAAATATTCTCCACTATTTTATAAGGGGTACGTTTGGTTGGGTAGGGATTGCCGCAAAGTTTTTCCTCCCGCGTCACTATAATTTGAAGTTAGGACACAAGGCTTGCCAGGACTGTGATGATCTCCAAGCCTGTCCTTTAAATCAAGTGACAAGATAATGTTGAAGTTAAGTTGCAGCCTTTGCCTGCTTCCATATGACCACTGGTGACGTTTCTGCCAAAGAAAACTGCATGCTCCATGCTCCTTCAATGCAACAGCCTTGTGGTTAGGAAGCTCTGGGTTAACTTAGATTAAAGCTGCTTCATGAAATTTCCTTCCCTGTCCTCTGAATCTGCTTGGAGCCAGTTTTCTCTCCTTGCAACGTTCAGCATTTCATAATGTGAATATGACTACAAGGTTTTCCTTTCTCCTTCTCTACACTAGTTATGCTTCTTCATGTATGATTTTTTCCAAAATACCTCAGTTTTTGCAATGCTCATTTTGGAATGTAACACCTCAATCTTAACAGATGATTCTAGGTGCAGATTTTCCTGTACAGAATACCCTGGCAATATTATTTTTCTGTTGTTAGTCCAGACACATCACACTATTGACTCATTATATATATACATTAAAACTTACAGTTATATTTTCATACAAGAGGTTCTCAAGACAGGTCAATACAGTGTTGTGCAATTTTTGAAACTGAGTACAAAAGTATATGTTCTTAAGTTTTCTCTGTGTTCCTAAATTCTATTTAGTGTCTCGAAAAGTTGGAATCATTAAGAATGAACTCATGTTGAAATAATGATCATACGATTATTAGATAATAAAGTGCTATTGTACTCTGACAATTTTAGAGTAACTTAGAACCACATTTCTCAACTCACATACCCCTCCTGACAAGACCCGTAAAGAGACTACACATTAGAATAAACCCCTCGACAAGCAAGACCTGTTAGTTCTGATGAGAATTTATTTTATGCATTGGTGTCATGGACACTAAAAAAGTGCTTGTGAATTACTGACTAAGGGGATCTGAGAAATCCAGGTGTCTGCGCATTCTTTGACATCGTTGTGGAAGAAACAGTTTTCAAAATGCTTGCACCTTTGACAGTAAGGCAATGTGTCTGTGTTTGAAATTAGAAGCCTGTAGCAATCTGCCTTATGTCAGCTGTGTCTCTGAGGAAAGCATTTTTTTTTTTGAGACGGAGTCTTGCTCTGTCGCCTAGGATGGAGTGCAGTGGTGTGATCTCGGCTCACTGCAACATTTGCCTCCCAGGTTAAAGCGAGTCTCCTGCCTCAGCCTTCTGAGTAGCTGTGATTACAGGCTCCTGCCACCATGCCCTGCTAATTTTTTGTATTTTCAGTAGAGAGGGGGTTTCACCATGTTGGCCAGGCTGGTCTCAAATTCCTGACCTTGTGATCTGCCCACCTCAGCCTCCCAAAGCACTGAGATTACAGGCGTGAGCCACTGCACCTGCACTAAGCAAGT